GAGGAGGAGAAAACAATAAGAGAGAGAGAAAACAGGAGGATTCATACATTGCTTTTTTCAACTCCAATCATGACATTTGAGGTTCTTTTTAATTTTGGTTTATTCCCTTTTTTTCACATAAATTTTCGTTTTTCTTTCTTTAATTTCTCATATTCAACCAGAAAATTGGATTGAAAATGAGAGTTTTGTGAGAAAGAAAAAAGAAAAATAAAGAGGGGTCTTTTGAAGGCGGCAAAATTAATAAGTCATTATTGAAGATGATGAGAGACATCCCTTAGGTTCATGTTATTGCTCCAAGGGACTTTTTGTATTTTTGCTATATAAGATCATAGATATGATGATATAAGAAAATAAGAAATATAAAGAGAAACTAATTTTTATGTGTTTTTTTTATATATATATATTGGATTCAAATGTGACCCTAAATTTAGATTTTCATTCACAGTTATAAAATCTTATCTGCCGGCCTATTTGTATATCGAAAATATTCAATCATGTATTTGTCCAGAAACAAAATTTTAGTTTAATAATAATGATATTTATAAATGGAAAAATATGAAAAAGTTAATAATCTAGTTTTTTTTTTTTTTTGGTTTGTAAATAACCGGGGATAAACTCCATAATTGTATTAAAAAAATATAAAACGCAATTACATACGAATCTCCCTCATACTCATAGTCCCCATAGCATCATCCCTCACAATCGACTCAACCTCACATGGAATCGTATCAATACATCAAATTTAATTTTTGTAGAATGTGTGCCTGAATTGTTAAAAGTAAATTTTATTTATATTGATGTTTAAATCCTATTTACTTTACATATTTTTAGTTAGTTTTAGTAATTTTTAATATATACATGGTTAATACTAATATTTGTAATTGTGGATTGATTGATAACAATAACTAAATTAACATAAATTATTAATTATTTTAGATTTTACTATATGAAAAAGGTTATATAAAAGAAATCAATTGCAAAAATATTATTTTTGGTGTATCCATTTTTAAAAATGCCAGTATAGGTTGTTCCTTTGCAAAAATAACACTAAATAAATAT